CGGGCAAACTGAAAAGAGAGGGGAAAAATCTAGATAAAGTGAAGAAGGTTGACCGAAACTCAGAGATCTTTTTGAAACAACTTTCATGCACTCATTTGAGGCTTTGCTTCTATTTTACATTAGTTCTGAGTTATCTCAAGAGAGAAAGCAACATCTTTTTTCCCTAACAAAGCTCAGGGTGACTTTGTGCAGCTGGTTATTATTACAATTTTAATCTCCAGATCAGATGCTCCAGACGGACAGAGAAACAGCAAAAAGATACATTGTTTAGTAAAGCTGATAAGGAAATTAAAGTTTAGTCAGATGGAATGTAAGGAATTTAAAGCAACCCTCTGTGTTTCATTGCTTTTCTTTACAACTAATTGTACAAAATAATAATGAAAAATGTATGAGATGTTCCATAGAGTGTCTTACCACCCACCGGATGAGTTCATTTAAAATTTCCTCCTCACTTGGGAAGAACTGAAATTACAGCAGCGGCTATTAATAGCTCCAAAGGGGATCTGAAGTAATCTGTCACTGGCAGGGGTTTGAAGTCCACAGATACTTCCTTTTTTCCTAGCCTGTCCTCTTCAAGAAAATTAGATGAAATAGCACACATTTCTTCATACATTTCAAGAAGGGAACAACTGCCACTCTTCTACCTCAAAAGGTAAGGGAGACAGGTGATATTTATGTACATAAAGCAGTGTGAAACCGTAAGATCACAGTAAAATTGTTATAAAAGCATTATGGAAAAATACATAGTGCCACTCTTGATAGCTTCCAGGTACTAAATTGCAGTAGCTACCTGTCAGGTTGTTGTATTTTTACCCATTTTTAAAGTTAGATGTAACCATATTATGACATTAATATAACCTACATAATAAACATCTCCATGGCAGGAAGAGGCTAACTTGTAATCCAAGTGCACAATACAGAAAATGTTTAACAGCTGTTTGTAAATAAAGACTGCGTGGATTACAGGTTTATAAGGGATTATAATGGAAGCAGAGATATAAGGAGAAACTGAGGCCCCCCTCTACACATTACTGGTATCATACAATTAACTTGTCACTTACCTTAAGATCAGCTACAGGTGCAAACTACTTATCATACCATAAAAAGGTCCAAATAGCTATAAAGTTAGACCTTAAAAATGGGTACTAACTTTATAGCTAGTTGCTATCCACCTTTAATTTGCACTTGTAACAGGGTCTCCCCTGCAGCTGGGAGCCCTGTCAACTCTAAGGCAGCTTTTAGCCCCAGCAGCTGCTGACTCTGGATTCCAGAAGCACCCCACAGCCACAATCCCCCATGGGACTGCACACCCCCAAGGCTGGGAGATTGCCGCTGCTGCATCTCCCAACTGTGGTGCCCCTGTGGCTGGAAACCCCTCAACTGAAGAGATTCCTAGCCAGGGGAGCCTGTGTCCTGCTGGTGCTGAGGGAGTGAGATCGGGGTCTCCCTGCACTGGCAATAAGGTGCAATGGGATCTATTGCATGATCTGACAATCACGCCTCCTGCCATGCACGTGTGGCAAGGCAGGAGACTCAACTGTGTGGATTGTGCATTAGATCCCATCATGCCTTTACCTGCATGTGTAGAGGGGCCCTGAGCTACAGAAATACATAGTCACCTTTTACCCATTGTTATGACTAGATTTTATATATTTTCCTGCTGTGATATCTATAGACAATAATATTTCTAACCACTTCATGCTTTGAATTTTAAGCATTTTAATACTCTATCCAAGCAAATGTTAAGAGGGTTATGTGCAAATATCTTATGTAGTAGGGACATTCATCATGCAAGAGAAAGGTTGTAAGATAAAAATGTAACCTCTCTTGTGCTTTCTTACCTAGAGAGGTGGTGAAATCTCCATCATTGCAAATCCTTAAGTACAGGTAGATGAATATGATCAGGGATGTTTTAGATAGGGATGAGCCTGCCACAGAGATTGGATTAGGTGATTTCTTCCAGTTTTATTTTCTATGAATTGATGACAGTAACCAATTTTCTCCTTAGCATTTTCAGATTAAAATCATCCACATCCTGAAACAAGTAAAATACATTCCTTTTATAAAACACATGTCTTTTATAAAAGATGTACTGTCATCTAAAGTATACAAAATGTTAACATTGTGGTATCATAGATTAAATGGACCTAAACTTTCAAGATGTGGTTCCTGAATATTTGAGAGAGAACACTCTAATTATTACTTTAATATTTTCTTTTCCTTGTTGCCAGGTACTTTTTATGATTCAGAGAATACTAAAATATCAATATTTTGTTCCATTGTGATATCTTACTGACAATTTAAAGAAATGAATATTACCATATTACATATTAAAATTAAAACATGAAGAAACTTGGAAATTCTGTTTATAGCTGAGATAGGTATACAAATGAATTTTGTTAAGTGAAGAGAGCTGTCTTGTTCAAGAAAGCAGAGTTTATGAAAGCACTATTCCAGTCAATGGACATTTCCTATACCCCTGTCACATACAGCTTCAAATCTTCTTTGTTTCTCTTAATACAAGCTTCTGCAAATTTTTCCCACACGGGACACTTTTAAAGGTGAAAATCCCACAGTTTTGGAAAAAAAAAAATATATGAATTTCATAGATTTCATAGACATTAGGGGCTGGAAGGGACCTCGTGAGATCATTGAGTCCAGCACCCCTATCAGAGCCAGGAAGTCTGTAGGGATCAAATGATCACAGAAAGATAAGCATCCAAACACCATTTGAATGAGTACAGAGTAGGTGCTTGCACCACATCTGGGGGGAGTCTGTTTCAGACCTTGGACACTCAGACTGTAAAGAAGTTTTTCCTTATATTGAGTCTGAATTGGCCTTCTAGATGTTTGTGGCCGTTAGACCTAGTTATCTCTTGGGAAGCCCTGGTGAACAACTGTTCTCCCAGATCCTGATACACCCCCCTTATGTACTCTTTGCCAGGCTGAAGAGTCCCATGTCCCTCAGTCTCTCTTCATAAGGCTAGGTCTCTTGGCCTTTGATCATGTGGGTGGCTCTCCTCTGGACTCTCTTGAGCTTATTCACATCCCTCCTGAAGTGGGGGCCCAAAACTGGACACAGTACTCCAGTTGCCACCTCCCTAAAGCTGAGTAAAGTAGGAGGATGATGTCCCTGGTTTTGCTTGAGATGCACCAATAGATGCAAGCCAGATTGTGGTTTGTTTTGCTGGCCATGGCATCGCATTGGTGGCTCATATTCATCTTGTGGTCAATCATGACCCCCAAGTCTCTTTAGCTCTTGGTGCTAGCGAGCGTAGCACTGCTGAGCCTATAAATATGATGTTGGTTTTTTCTCCCAATTCTTTCTTCATAGTTTCATAGTTTCATAGTTCCATAGATGTTAGGGTCATAAGGGACCTATTAGACTGAGTCCAACCTCCTGCCCCAGATACAAATGAGTGCTGGGGTCAGATGACCCCAGCCAGGTGTCTGTCCAATCTCCTTTTAAACACCCCCAAGGAAGGGAAAAGTACCACCTCTCTTGGAAACTTATTCCATATTTTGGCAACCCTCACTGTAAAGATTTTTTTCCTGATATCCAATCTGAATTTTCTTTCTTCTAGTTTGTGGCCATTATTTCTAGTTGCTCTGACAGGTGCCCTGGTAAATATTGTTTCCCCTATTTCTTGCCCCTTTTTTGTAGCTGCATCGCATTACAGACACATGAATCTGTGATCCACTAAGACTCCACAATCTTTCTCTGAAGTGTTCCACAGTTGTCACCCATTTGATATTTTCATAGTTTTAGTTATTTTTTCCCTTGTGTAGGACGTTGCATTTGTCAGCATTTAACTTCATCCTTTTGGCTTTAGCCTAGCTTTTCAATCTATAAGAATTGCAGTGTTGTCCTCTGTTGTATTTGCCCCACAACCCAGTTTCATGTCATCTTCAAATTTATTCAAGAAGCTCTGGAGTCCAGAATCCAAATAATTAATAAACAGATTATATAGCACTAGGCACAGGACAGACCCTTATGGGACTCCTCTTGAAACCTCCTGCCATTCCAGGCTCCATTACCCTTTGCTTACAGCTATTGACTCAGTTGTCTATCCACACTGTAGAAGTTTTATCTAGCCCCCATTTCTCCAATTTGTTTCTGAGGTCACATAGGACTTTGCCAAAAGTCTTCTGTTCTTTACATTACACATACCTCTTTATGCCAGTTCAGTCCTCCTGAAAACAACACCCGAGGAAGATATTTTCCATGACCTTTCAAATGTGCCAGGAAACCAGCTTGGTGCTTTTTTGAGTGCTCAGCTAATATTTTTGTTATGTTACACTGGCTGCAGCTGAAAACTTTGCAATTCTGACTTTAATAACAAAATAACATTACCAAAGCATTTACTATATCCCTAACACAGCATAAGGAAGAGCTATGTAGTACCGTGGTAATGTCAGCTGCTTTAGAAAACTAATTTTAAGCAAGACTATAATCATTCTCCATTGCTATTTTTGGAACTTCTGCCCACAGATTTGGACCTTGATGAAAATGTAGGGTTTTTTTAAATGAATTGCCAACAAACCATATGGACTGGCTTAAAGAAATTATAAAAAATATATATAAATAAGCAGGCAGCAGAGAACGCACAGAGAGGTATCTTAACCATATAGATAAATAGCTTGTGACTCTGCAGAAAGTACTAGTTCTAATGCCATTTCTGCTTTGCCATCAATCACCCTAATTTCTTTTATAGCTTCCCCTCTAGCCTCACGGGCAAACTGAAAAGAGAGGGGAAAAATCTAGATAAAGTGAAGAAGGTTGACCGAAACTCAGAGATCTTTTTGAAACAACTTTCATGCACTCATTTGAGGCTTTGCTTCTATTTTACATTAGTTCTGAGTTATCTCAAGAGAGAAAGCAACATCTTTTTTCCCTAACAAAGCTCAGGGTGACTTTGTGCAGCTGGTTATTATTACAATTTTAATCTCCAGATCAGATGCTCCAGACGGACAGAGAAACAGCAAAAAGATACATTGTTTAGTAAAGCTGATAAGGAAATTAAAGTTTAGTCAGATGGAATGTAAGGAATTTAAAGCAACCCTCTGTGTTTCATTGCTTTTCTTTACAACTAATTGTACAAAATAATAATGAAAAATGTATGAGATGTTCCATAGAGTGTCTTACCACCCACCGGATGAGTTCATTTAAAATTTCCTCCTCACTTGGGAAGAACTGAAATTACAGCAGCGGCTATTAATAGCTCCAAAGGGGATCTGAAGTAATCTGTCACTGGCAGGTGTTTGAAGTCCACAGCTACTTCCTTTTTTCCTAGCCTGTCCTCTTCAAGAAAATTAGATGAAATAGCACACATTTCTTCATACATTTCAAGAAGGGAACAACTGCCACTCTTCTACCTCAAAAGGTAAGGGAGACAGGTGATATTTATGTACATAAAGCAGTGTGAAACCGTAAGATCACAGTAAAATTGTTATAAAAGCATTATGGAAAAATACATAGTGCCACTCTTGATAGCTTCCAGGTACTAAATTGCAGTAGCTACCTGTCAGGTTGTTGTATTTTTACCCATTTTTAAAGTTAGATGTAACCATATTATGACATTAATATAACCTACATAATAAACATCTCCATGGCAGGAAGAGGCTAACTTGTAATCCAAGTGCACAATACAGAAAATGTTTAACAGCTGTTTGTAAATAAAGACTGCGTGGATTACAGGTTTATAAGGGATTATAATGGAAGCAGAGATATAAGGAGAAACTGAGGCCCCCCTCTACACATTACTGGTATCATACAATTAACTTGTCACTTACCTTAAGATCAGCTACAGGTGCAAACTACTTATCATACCATAAAAAGGTCCAAATAGCTATAAAGTTAGACCTTAAAAATGGGTACTAACTTTATAGCTAGTTGCTATCCACCTTTAATTTGCACTTGTAACAGGGTCTCCCCTGCAGCTGGGAGCCCTGTCAACTCTAAGGCAGCTTTTAGCCCCAGCAGCTGCTGACTCTGGATTCCAGAAGCACCCCACAGCCACAATCCCCCATGGGACTGCACACCCCCAAGGCTGGGAGATTGCCGCTGCTGCATCTCCCAACTGTGGTGCCCCTGTGGCTGGAAACCCCTCAACTGAAGAGATTCCTAGCCAGGGGAGCCTGTGTCCTGCTGGTGCTGAGGGAGTGAGATCGGGGTCTCCCTGCACTGGCAATAAGGTGCAATGGGATCTATTGCATGATCTGACAATCACGCCTCCTGCCATGCACGTGTGGCAAGGCAGGAGACTCAACTGTGTGGATTGTGCATTAGATCCCATCATGCCTTTACCTGCATGTGTAGAGGGGCCCTGAGCTACAGAAATACATAGTCACCTTTTACCCATTGTTATGACTAGATTTTATATATTTTCCTGCTGTGATATCTATAGACAATAATATTTCTAACCACTTCATGCTTTGAATTTTAAGCATTTTAATACTCTATCCAAGCAAATGTTAAGAGGGTTATGTGCAAATATCTTATGTAGTAGGGACATTCATCATGCAAGAGAAAGGTTGTAAGATAAAAATGTAACCTCTCTTGTGCTTTCTTACCTAGAGAGGTGGTGAAATCTCCATCATTGCAAATCCTTAAGTACAGGTAGATGAATATGATCAGGGATGTTTTAGATAGGGATGAGCCTGCCACAGAGATTGGATTAGGTGATTTCTTCCAGTTTTATTTTCTATGAATTGATGACAGTAACCAATTTTCTCCTTAGCATTTTCAGATTAAAATCATCCACATCCTGAAACAAGTAAAATACATTCCTTTTATAAAACACATGTCTTTTATAAAAGATGTACTGTCATCTAAAGTATACAAAATGTTAACATTGTGGTATCATAGATTAAATGGACCTAAACTTTCAAGATGTGGTTCCTGAATATTTGAGAGAGAACACTCTAATTATTACTTTAATATTTTCTTTTCCTTGTTGCCAGGTACTTTTTATGATTCAGAGAATACTAAAATATCAATATTTTGTTCCATTGTGATATCTTACTGACAATTTAAAGAAATGAATATTACCATATTACATATTAAAATTAAAACATGAAGAAACTTGGAAATTCTGTTTATAGCTGAGATAGGTATACAAATGAATTTTGTTAAGTGAAGAGAGCTGTCTTGTTCAAGAAAGCAGAGTTTATGAAAGCACTATTCCAGTCAATGGACATTTCCTATACCCCTGTCACATACAGCTTCAAATCTTCTTTGTTTCTCTTAATACAAGCTTCTGCAAATTTTTCCCACACGGGACACTTTTAAAGGTGAAAATCCCACAGTTTGGAAAAAAAAAAATATATGAATTTCATAGATTTCATAGACATTAGGGGCTGGAAGGGACCTCGTGAGATCATTGAGTCCAGCACCCCTATCAGAGCCAGGAAGTCTGTAGGGATCAAATGATCACAGAAAGATAAGCATCCAAACACCATTTGAATGAGTACAGAGTAGGTGCTTGCACCACATCTGGGGGGAGTCTGTTTCAGACCTTGGACACTCAGACTGTAAAGAAGTTTTTCCTTATATTGAGTCTGAATTGGCCTTCTAGATGTTTGTGGCCGTTAGACCTAGTTATCTCTTGGGAAGCCCTGGTGAACAACTGTTCTCCCAGATCCTGATACACCCCCCTTATGTACTCTTTGCCAGGCTGAAGAGTCCCATGTCCCTCAGTCTCTCTTCATAAGGCTAGGTCTCTTGGCCTTTGATCATGTGGGTGGCTCTCCTCTGGACTCTCTTGAGCTTATTCACATCCCTCCTGAAGTGGGGGCCCAAAACTGGACACAGTACTCCAGTTGCCACCTCCCTAAAGCTGAGTAAAGTAGGAGGATGATGTCCCTGGTTTTGCTTGAGATGCACCAATAGATGCAAGCCAGATTGTGGTTTGTTTTGCTGGCCATGGCATCGCATTGGTGGCTCATATTCATCTTGTGGTCAATCATGACCCCCAAGTCTCTTTAGCTCTTGGTGCTAGCGAGCGTAGCACTGCTGAGCCTATAAATATGATGTTGGTTTTTTCTCCCAATTCTTTCTTCATAGTTTCATAGTTTCATAGTTCCATAGATGTTAGGGTCATAAGGGACCTATTAGACTGAGTCCAACCTCCTGCCCCAGATACAAATGAGTGCTGGGGTCAGATGACCCCAGCCAGGTGTCTGTCCAATCTCCTTTTAAACACCCCCAAGGAAGGGAAAAGTACCACCTCTCTTGGAAACTTATTCCATATTTTGGCAACCCTCACTGTAAAGATTTTTTTCCTGATATCCAATCTGAATTTTCTTTCTTCTAGTTTGTGGCCATTATTTCTAGTTGCTCTGACAGGTGCCCTGGTAAATATTGTTTCCCCTATTTCTTGCCCCCCCCCCCACCGATGAGTTTGTAGGTGGCCACGAGATCACCTCTCATCCTCCTCTTGCAGAGGCTGAAGAGGTTCAGGTCTCCCAATTGGTCCACATAGGGTTTTTACTGTAGGCCTTTAACCAAATGGTTGGCCCTCATCTGAACCCTCTCCAGGCCATCCGCATCCCTCCCAAAGTGCGGTGCCCAAAACTGGATGCAGTACTCCAGCTGCGGCTTAACCAATGCTACATAGAGGGGAAGTATCACCTCCCTAAACCTGTTTGAGATACACCTACTTATGCAAGAAAGGGTGCGGTTAGCTTTACTTATTACCTCATCACACTGGTGACTCATGTTCGTTTTGGAGTCAACTACGACTCCGAGATCCCTTTCTGCAGTTGTGTTACTTAGAGTGTAGGAGTATTGATGATTCTTCCTCCCCAGGTGCAACACATGACACTTATCCTTGTTAAACAGCATCCTATTATGTTTGGCCCATTTCCCCAACTTGTCCAAATCAGCCTGGATTTGCTCCCTGCCGTCTAGTTTGTACAGCTTCCCCCAGAGTTTGGTGTCATCAGCAAACTTGGACAGGGTGCTTTCTACTCCCTCATCCAAGTCACTATTGAATAGTACCAGTTCCAGGACAGAGCCTTGGGGGACTCCGCTGCCCACATTTCTCCAGGTAGAAACTGACCTGTCCACCACCACTCTGTGGGTGCATCCCATAAGCCAATTTTTCTATCCACTGGACTGCATAATAATCCACGTTGCAACTGTTTAGTTTATTTATAAGAATTGAGTGACACTGTGACAAAGGCCTTTTTAAAATATAAGTAAATAACAGCAGCCGCTATTCCTTCATCCAAGCCTTTTGTGACCTGGTCATAAAATGAAGCCAGGTTACTCAGGCAGGATCTGACTGCTATGAACCCATGCTGATTGCCCCTTAACATCATTTTACCCACTGGTCCACCACAAATGTGATCCTTAACAATTTTCTCAAAGGTCTTGCCAAGGATAGAGGTGACACTAACTGGCTTATAGTTACTCGGTTCCTCCTTCCTCCCCTTCTTGAAAATAGGGACCACATTCGCCTTTTTCCAATCCTCTGGGACCTGTCCTGAGCACCACGAGTGCTTGAACAGTTGTGTCAGTGGCTCCACTATGACTCCTACTTCTCTTGGAATGATTCCCATTTTATCAGATCAGGAAGGATGCTTCTTTTTATTGTTGCTGATATCCTTACAAAATTTTATTTATACTTGGCTTTTATTATTTTCAAGTTTAGTTTATCCAGAGAAAATGAAAGGAAAATAGGAAGAGTGAAGGAGGGGTTGGGAGTGGGGGACAGAGAGAGAGAGACAGAGAAAGATCTAAAAAATGCTTGATTTAATTATACTCACACATAAGTAGTCCTTTTGAAGTCAAGACTCAGAGCAGTGAGCCTGCAGGGCAAAAGCTTTGCACTCATGCAGAGCCAAAATGATATTAATGGGATTCTATATTGGGAGATACTTTTGTTTTTTATAGGTTTGCAGTGAAGTCAATGGGACATGAGTTCAAGTCAAAATGTTTTGATTTTCTATTTCATTTTTAGTTGGTATTTTATTATAAAACAAATAAGTTGAAATAAAACATTCCCATCAGGCTGAAACATATTCAAAATATTTTGCTTCTCTCAGAAATTAAAAATGTTCTGGTTTCATTCCAAATCAGAACAAAGCCATCCTTAGAAAGCTTCAAATTCTCCATGAAATGGATTTTCTACCTTCTGTAATAATTACATTAAAATACTTTATAAATCACTACAGATAAAGTGGACACTTTGAAGACAAATAAAATTCATCCTTCTGAAAGCATTTGTAATAAAGACTTAATTATGCTGCAGCTGAAGCCAAGGTATAAAATAGTACTTCATTATGAACTTCTGGCACATTGCTAGTGTTGAAAGACATGCAATGGTAAAGACAAGTGGTTGATACAGCTGGTAGGCCTGTCTCATTCATCTCATCCCTTGTCTCATCTCTCTTTTTTAGGGTGGAGGGGCATGGTGGGGAGGGCTGGGAAATATGGTATGGGTATCAAAAGGACCTTCTGACCAAGACTGGCCACAGTGCTGCAAAATAAATCTTGCTTATTCCTAGCCCCTCCATGTGTTTCTAGGCTTGCAAATTTGCAGAGTAGATGACTTGGTGTAGTCATAGATGTGCACTTGGTACTACACACTTGTTCTCCTGGGTTTCCAAACCCATGCTTTGACTGTGTCATGGTACAGGGCTGTGCACATTCTATAGACAAGACAGCATAGTAATTTTGACAATGAAGTATGAGTACTTTGATGTACTACATTGTGCTGTGTTCATAGATTTGGGTAAAAACCATCCTGTTATGACTCCCTTTCACTTAGGTTTTCTATTGGCTGTAACCAAAATCAGGATGGATTTTACATTGATATTGTTAGTATAGAGAGCCCTTGGTTCATTAAGACCTCCTCAATTAACCTCATACTAATGGGTATCTGTAGAGAAAATGTATTTTGATGTGCTCTACCACTATGTCAAAGACAAGTGATTAATCATGTTTCCGTTCAGACTGCCTTTGGAAGTCAGGGCACTCTCTCAACATCTAATAGTATCTGCATATCCCTGTTTTCACAATATTTCTTCAGATTTCATTTAAATGTGGATGATTGCCACATTGCATGTAACACAGTTTCCCCACACACTTAAACAAATATCATGTCCTTCCCTGGTTTGTCTTTAATAACAATTATTTTTCTTGTGCTGTGACTTTTTTTTTAAGTATATTCTAAATGTGCACACACCCAAATGCTTTGGCTGAATTGGGAGAGGGGGAAGTGCTTTAGAGTTAAAAAATGTATTATTCTTTTAAACTCTGCAAAATGTAGAGTCTGTTCCTCTGTGCTGTGCTGTGCTGTGCTGTGCTGTGCTGTGCCGTAGATGCTACAAAGTGCAGAGGATTTTAAAATAGTTTTGTCGAATTTTTATTGTCCTCAGGGCAGTATGTATGATCAGATGGATGAAAGATAAACAACTTCTGTGGTTCTGGGGAGGGCAGGGAAGGGAGGAGAGCTTCAGCTGTTCCAGTGCCTTCCTTCCCAGTTTCATCCCCACTCTCAGAGTAACTTGATGGTGGATGGTCAGATAGTCTTGCACTGGTAAGACAGGGGAAATGGGAGAGCTAACAGTTTCCCCGCTTCACACAAGTAAAACCTTGTCAGGGACAGCGCAACCTCCTACTGGTGTTGCTGCCTGCTTTCACTGCCCTATGTTTGGAGTACAATTGAAATGATGTTTACAATATACTGACTGGTCATTAATTTTTAGGCTCAGAAAAACAATTCTCTCCCATGGGGCCTTCCTTGTGTGAGGGCCGGCTCCCGATCCCATCCTCGCCATGTGTGAGCCGGGCCCGTCTTTCCGCACACGGACTGTGGCTAGCAGCTCGGGCACGCGGGGCCGGAGAAAACCGTGGGGGGGTAAGGTACGCGCGAGCTAGAATCAGTTACGGAGGCATAATGGTTGATTGAAAAGATTATTTACTTACACCCAAGGTGGTCGCGGTGTAGGCTGGACAGCTTTCCAGGCACAGCTCCGCTTGAATCCTCGTTGGAGGACTCTGACAAACTCGGTTCTTTGACCCCGGAGTGGTTTAGTCTCCGCGGGTTCGGCAATTCTTTCCTCACAGATTGGCTGAATCTCTGTGGGTTCTGTTCAGTTCCCAGGTCCCCCGGAGCTGTTAAGACTCCGTGGGTTCAAAAATTGGGTATATAGGATAGGGATACATCTAGGATTGCGCTCGGTGATGGGGAGAGGCTAGAAGCTAAACAGACCTCCGTTGCCTGCTTAAGAAAGGTGCGTTGGGTCCGCAAGGGTCCACATCGCTTGGAGATCTTCACACAGCGCGAAGTCTCCTCCTCCTGGCGAGTT